ATTTCTATGTAACCCTAAATAGATATTTAAAATGTCTAAGTGAAAATCTCCATGATGCAACTTGTAGAACCTCTTGTTATTCTCAAAATATTCTTTTTACAAGAAAAATTTAAAATAATGGATTTGAATTACTGTGTTAAAAATATTAATTTGCCCTTAGTCAAACTATCATTGAATTAGCATTAGGAATACTGGAACAATTTTTCATCCCCTTTGATATACCTTATCTTATACCTTTGAAGAATTTCAAGAGTATATCTACTCTCTGAGCCCGGCCATGGGCCAGGCTTGTCTGGTGCTCACCTGGTCAACCAGGCTGTTGCTGCTGGAGGCCCGCTGCCCCACATATCCATCACAGCCTGGTTGATCTGGCACCTGGTGAAGATACTTGTCTAGTTTCCTCTTGAAGGCTTCAACACTTGTTCCAGCAGTGTTTCTGATATCTTCTGGTAAGATGTTGAAAAGTCTGGGACCCTGGGTGTTGATACAGTGTTCCCTTATTGTCCCCACCACACCCTGCTCCTCATTGGGTTTATTTTACACTTCCTCCCATATCTCTCACTCCAGTATGTTGTTATGGCAGTGTGAAGATTTGGGACCAACCCCTCAAGTACCTTCCAGGTATATATTATCATGTACCTTTATCTCCTCCTCTTCAATGAGTACATGTTCAAGACTTGCAGGCGTTCCCAGTAGTTTAGGTGCTTTACTGGCTCAATGTGAGCCGTAAACAATCTCTGTACATGTATTTGTTCCAGCTCCGATATTTCTCCTGCCCTGAACGGGGCTGTCAGCACTGAGCAATATTCTAAGTGAGGGAGCACTAGCGATTTGAAGAGTGTCACCATCGGCACTGTTTCCCTTGTTTTGAAAGTTCTCAATACCCACCCAGTCATCTTCCTGGCTGTCGTGATCTTTGTCTTGTTATAGTCTTTAAAAGAAAGGTCCGCTGAGTTTTGTACATAGTGCTCCTTTTGAGTTTTTCATTCTTTCCATACCTAAGCAGCTGGAACTTATCACCATTGAACGTCATATTTTCCACTGCCCACTGGAAAACCCTGTTTATGTCTTCCTGTACTTTTTCAGTGTCCTCTACCGTACTGACTTTCATGCTTATTTTAGTGTCATCTGCAAATGATGATACAAAAGTGTGCCAGGTGTTTTTGTCTATGTCTGCTATGAGGATGAGGAACAGCAGTGGTGCCAGGACAGTGCCTTGGGGCACTGAGCTTTTGACCTCGCTGATGCTGGATCTTACTAGGTTCACTACTCCTTTTTGTGTTCTGTGCGTTAGGAAACCGAAAATCCATGTGCCTACCTTCCCCGTAATGCCCATGGCCTTCATTTTGTGCGCTATCACTTCATGATCGCATTTGTCAAACGCCTTTGCAAAATCTGTGTAAATCACATCTACGTTTTGGTCGTCTTCCATTGCCTCCGTAATTCTGTCATAATGGTTCAGCAGCTGTGACAGACATGATCGTCAGGAAATAATGACAATTTAATGACGATTAACCTTATTCCATGAACAAGTAAGAGAAAGTGAGACAGTGAGAAAGAGAAAAAGAAAAAGTGAGAGAAAGAGAGAGAAAGAAAGAGAGAGAAAGAGAGAGAGAGAAAGAGAGAACATCACCACCAAAATAGCTAAATATTTTGTATACCTAGTTTTTAAAGGCATTTGAGAAGAAAAATTCTCATAGTTTCATTATAACCTAACAATACCATTGACAAATATTAACATCTGCTTCAAAGGCTCCATTATCTATATAATTTTGACACTTAAACTAGAGTTCCCAGCAGTTAGAAAGCATGGGACCCATGCCTTATAAAGTTTCTGAAAATTTAAGATTAATTCTAATACTGAAACTCAGAAAACAAAAATGTTAAGGGTGAATTTTTGCATACACTGTATAACCACTATGCTCAGTTTATATAATACATTAAAATGGGAAACTATACATTGCTATACAAATATCTGCATTGCAATTAGATTTCTTCTGAGCAAAAGCTATTCCTGAAGTGGGGGCTGTCTCATGTTAAAATTACATTATCACCTGCCAATGAGATAGCTCCAAACAAAATATAAGGACTGTTACATATTACAGACACTGCTTACAGTACAGCATACAAGATGGCCCCATTTTACGGCGTTTTGCTTTACGACGTTTCACTAATACAGCATCTTTCAAATTACACCCAACCTTAATTTATTCTGACTTCCTACAGTAAATATATTCACCATTCACTCTAAACTAAGGACAAAAATATTTCACGGTAAGTAACGAATATACTGTATATGCATTTTTTAGGCCTAGCTCTATTGTTCACTTAATAAATGATAGTGTAAACATATTACCAGGCTTTTGTGTGTTTGAAAGTAAACAAAAAGGCTATGTTTCACTTTACAGTGATTTTTGCATTACAACAGTAGCCCAGAACCTAACCTGCTGTATAAGTGGGGCCCTCCTGTGTGTGGAAAGCAACAATATGCTGGTAGATGCATCTTCTGTAACAATGGAAGTTTAGAACAGGGCTTGATCCATCAGAATTTTTTTTTTTTTTTTTTTTTTTTTTTTTTTTGTCTATGTATTTGGTGGTTATTTATCTTTTGGTATTAAATTCTTTTAAATGTAAAACTGAAGAAATTCTTGAACAGACTGGCTTTACTTCAATTAAGTAATAAAATAAAAATTAACAAATTTTGGACAATTTAAACTTCCAGATAACTCAAGAATATACAAACACAAGAGAAAATGCCTTTGCCTGCAAATTATGCAACACAAGAAAGATGCATCACCCTACAAGAGCAGCCCTGAGACACTAGTTTCAATAAATATTGTATTTTACAATGCACTTTATTCAGCCCAAAAGCATTATGTTGACATATTAAACTGCAAAACTATAAAATTACTAGTGTCTGACATACATGCATTCACTCATAACAGATTCGAACACAAAACTCGGGTTCATCTGCGTTTACACTTTATTTTTAAGCCTTTTAACATTTTTTGAACTCCATCTACCTAATCCCAAATAGATTACAAATATGGAATCCCTCTTACTTTACTCACATTAACACACAAATCAAGGGAATGAGCTATTGGGAGAGACTAAAGAAAAAAAAAACCAAGGCACACAATAACGTGTTACAACGCTCGAGCATCTGACAGGCATATAGGAAGAGATTGTTTAAAATATACAACATTGGCAAGGGATTAAAAATAAAGATAAACAATGATGATTCCCAGGAACAATAATATTTCTTTAGTTTCAGGGTGGTACACAAGTTGAACAAGCTGAATGATATTATATAATAGCGTCCAAGAAACCAGGAACTAATACTGCAAGTTACCGAGGTGAAGAGGCAGCCAGGAGCCAAGACTGCCCCACAAACAATTAAGAGTGTACAAAAATTTATATAAATGATTTGCCGTAAGGAATGAAACACTATATTAATATGTTTGCAAGTGATGCTAATATCATATGTAAAGATGTAAAAATTACTTTAAATCTCTGAAAAAATACACAAATAAATGCAATGTAATAAAAATTTGGAAAACATAAGCCACACAAGCAGTATAGATGGCAATAAAAATTAAAATGTTAAAGAGGACTAACAGTCAGTGCTGACAAAAGATTATCGTTGGTAGATCATATTCCACTGGCAGACTTTAAAATAGTCTTCAAACATATTGCTGATGCAAATGTTTAAAAAAGTCTTTCACAACATGCTTCAAGTCAAAACTGCAATATGCAAGTGTGGTGTCTGCACTGTCACACTGCAATATGCTGGTGTAATGTATGAACTTTAAAAATACATCTCGATAAGATAGGACAAACTCCAAAAGGCAGAAAATGGCTCCTAGAGTAAAAAAATAAAAAAAATGAGCGACTAAAAAAAGAAAGACAAAGCGCTAAAAATGCCCTAGATGGTCAATAAGAGAGGGCATGATAACCACATGTAGAGTAATAAAAAAATACCACTGAAGATATGGCTAAAAAAAAAAAAAAAAAAAGTATCAGCACAGTCAACAGAGAACAAGAGGCCACTATTGTAAAATAAGAAAAGAAACAATGGTAAATGGATATTAGACAGTTCTTATTCACAAACAAGATTGGTAGAATAATTAAATTAAAAGAGGTCGTGTTACAACCCCTCAAGTTTAAAATACTGTTTACGATAAATTAGACTAAATAGAGAACACTAGGTTCTCCCGTCCTCACAAACAAGTAATGCACAGATACATCATCGATTTTCCAGCACCTCTGACCCACCATGGTCTGCTGGAAACTTAAAACATTAGTATAAATGAAACTGGTTTATTTATTACTGTACTTTCAAAGAATATTTCAGTACTACCACTACCAAAGTGGTAAATTTTGAGGGAACTGTAGAGGCAATCACAAAGGTTAACTGTTAGCAAAATATGCTAAGAATCACAAACTTAAGGGATCACCACCAACAACTACAGAGTCAACAATATAAGTGAGCACACACCACATACAATACCATCTGTTGCCGCCTGGTAAACTGTTTTGGCAAAAGAGAAGAATCAAAATTTTGTCTCGACTAAAATAGGTGCCAGGCAATCCACTGATAGAAAATCAGCGTTATACCTGTATTTGCAAATGGCTAATCTCACACACAATCTTAAGTCAATCATTTAAAATATTTCAGTGTCTCTCCCTAATCTACTATATACAGTGGACCCTGGAGTTAAAAAAATTTTTCGTTCCAGACGGCTGGTCAAGTGCTGTTACTGAACGAATTTCCTCTCATCAGGAATAATGTAAAATAGATTAATCTGTATCAGACCCCTGAAAATATACTTACAAAAGCACTTACAAAAATACACTTACATAATTTGTCATGTTGGGAGTGGTTCTTAACTCGAGGGTCCACTGTATAATATTTTGTCTGCATCTAACTAGCTTCAACTATCTCAAAATTATAAAATATTAAAAAATTAATCAAGCTGAATATCACGTTGATAACTCACTTGAAAATTTGGGTTTCTCCAGAGGTATCGATAGTAACAGTGACATAGCAGTAACCATCTGTCTCACACACACCCAACTTGCAATCTGAACACACACACTTCAGCAATCTATCTTCAGGTGGTGTTGGAGGCGCACGTACAATACCTGAGAAGAAGTTTCACTATTCATTATCAACTTCATGATAATTTCAACACTACAGCAATACCTTGCATGGTACGGTTAATGCGTGTCAAAAAAACACCATATTATGCAATAACATACGGATCAAGGTATTATAATGTGTTTTAACAATTAAATGCATTGGATTGCAAAAATATTTAACCAATTGCTTAATGCAATTTAATGCACCGGAAACTCTTGCACACACTTGCAAATAATAGTTACCAAAGATAAAAATGAAAAAATAGTAGTACTAAAGATTTTTATTACAGTTGTAAATAAACAATGTACCATACATTTGGTAAAAAGATAATTTTTATTTTGAAAAATAGTTGAACAACGTAGTTTGCAGTTTTTTCTTTTTACCAACACACACATCTTCATACATTCCCCTCTTTACTTTGTCCTTGGAGGCAAAGAGGGGAATGTACGAGAGTATAGTTTTACCAACGCTCTTATATGGGTGTGAAGCATGGGTGATGAATGTTGCAGCGAGGAGAAGGCTGGAGGCAGTGGAGATGTCATGTCTGAGGGCAATGTGTGGTGTGAATATAATGCAGAGAATTCGTAGTTTGGAAGTTAGGAGGAGGTGTGGGATTACCAAAATTGTTGTCCACAGGGCTGAGGAAGGGTTGTTGAGGTGGTTCGGACATGTAGAGAGAATGGAGCGAAACAGAATGACTTCAAGAGTGTATCAGTCTGTAGTGGAAGGAAGGCGGGGTAGGGGTCGGCCTAGGAAAGGTTGGAGGGAGGGGGTAAAGGAGGTTTTGTGTGCGAGGGGCTTGGACTTCCAGCAGGCATGCGTGAGCGTGTTTGATAGGAGTGAATGGAGACAAATGGTTTTTAATACTTGACGTGCTGTTGGAGTGTGAGCAAAGTAACATTTATGAAGGGATTCAGGGAAACCGGCAGGCCGGACTTGAGTCCTGGAGATGGGAAGTACAGTGCCTGCACTCTGAAGGAGGGGTGTTAATGTTGCAGTTTAAAAACTGTAGTGTAAAGCACCCTTCTGGCAAGACAGTGATGGAGTGAATGATGGTGAAAGTTTTTCTTTTTCGGGCCACCCTGCCTTGGTGGGAATCGGCCAGTGTGATAATAAAAAAAAAAAAAAAACACATCTTCATAGCATCGAATATCATTTTGTAATGCCTGCCGAACTCTAATGCCTCGTTCAATGTTTGGATCCTCATTCATTATGAAGTCACAAGCATCTTTTACTTTCACAATAAACACTGACAGTTCATCCAATGTTAATTGCTTTGTGTGCGCAGCACTTTCCTCTTCTTGATTTTTCTGTTTCTTCGTATAAATGTTACTGATCCATTTCGACAAGTGTTGCATCTTCAAGGTCATCAGAATGGGAGTCAATGAATTGATGCACATTTTCACAATCCAAAGATTCTAATCTGAGATGAACTTTCCCAAGCTATACAATGTTTCCACAAATAGTTTCAATAGAGCATTCAAAACTGCCAAAATCATTGGAACAATGCAGTAAAAGAAAATGCCAAACAGCTCTCATGTCGCTCGCAATTACTTCATGCCACGATTCACTTATGTTTTCTGTCACATTTCGGACATTTCCAAAGTTTAACTTGTAGCATTTTTTCCGGTTGTTACTTTTATGGCTAGTGCAAAGGTACATCTTAAATAACACCCTGATCCATTGGCTACAATAAAGATGTATTCGGTGGCAAGAAAATTACAGTGACATTTTCATTCAAGTATGAAAGAGGATGACGACCTGGTGCACTGTCCAATAACAGCAAAATGTTAAAATCCATGACATTATCTTTGCAATAATGTTCAACTGCAGGGCAAAAATAATTTGTAAACCAATCATCAAACAACTGTCTCGTTGCCCAGTCTTTCTTATTTGACCACCATATAACAGAAGAGCATTTTTTGAATTGGATTAAAGATCCCTTGGCTATCCCACTCTGTACACCAGCATAGGCTTTAATTTAACCCCTTGATTGTCGCAACCCAAATCCTGAGGTGTCTCCTGGTGTCGCAAAATTTCCGAAAAAAAAATTATTTTTTCTTATGAAATGATAGAGAATCTTTTCCCGGTTGTAATGACACCAAAAGAACGAAATTTGATGGAAAACTGACGGAATTACGCTCTCACAAAGTTAGCAACCTCAGCGGTGTTTACGAATCGGCAATTTTGCCCACTCTGAGCCCTATTTTCGGCTAATTCCATTGTTCCAGTTGACCAAACTCATAGCTATTTCTTTAGAACTCCATTTTTTCTATCGATTGAGTACAAGAAATTGCCCATTTACCGAATTCAACTACCCACTAACGTGGTCAGAATTTTGCAATTTGGCCCATTTCACAAAAATTAAAAACTATGACAATGACAAAACAGGGTCCAGAACAAACAATGCAGATATTCCTGGCTCTAAAACACCATTTTCTTTGTTCATCAGTCATGTCTCCAGGCCCCTCTGATATTACTCTTGCTTTCTATTTTGAATTTTTATTCAAACAAAAAATAGAAGATTTACTGTTATGCAGACTACTGCAATATTGTAATAATTGTATAAATAATGTCAACCCATTCATGCGTGCATATCAGAATGGCTACTTGGACATTTATTGGAAAATTACATAATTTTTTTTTACTTTTTAACATCGGCAAAAATCAAACATTTCCTCTACTTTGAGCTCCATTTCAAGGTTCTTTTCATAGTAAGACCAATCAAAATCACCTCTATTTCTATAATATGTTTCCCATTCTATCAAATGAGACCAAGAAAACGAGAATACAACCATAAATACTATACAAAAATAGACCACAAAGTCGGCATTTTAATTAAAAAAAAGGCCGGAGTTTTTTTTCTCATTATGCACTGAATGCTGCAGGATTTTTTTTATATGGTGCACACTGACCACACAGACCCATTCTCTCACATGTGGGCCTACCAGCTTTCTCCTGCTCGATTTGAAGCCGCTAGAATTTATGAGTATATATACGTCAAACACGGTGGCTCGTAAGACGTATATATACGACAGAAAGTCAAAGGGTTAAAGTCACCAGATGCATTCCCACCCAATAAAAGCATTAAACAGTCTTGGAGACTATATCCTGGTTGTGATGACTGTTTTTCCACCAAATAAGCGCATGACAGCAACTTTTTCCAAAAAACCCATTTCATCTACGTTAAAAATTTGATCATTTTTGTTGCCATTCTTTATTTTTTCAGATCATTGTATACACTGGCACTCTGACCAGTAATTCCAACATTATGGAGTCCCATACGGATTTTAAAGTTGCAAAACCAGCCGACGACTTGCCAAAAAACTTTCCCCCCTTATTGCCATTTTCTTTTTTAACAATGAATAGAGACTTGTTGCTTTAGCTTGAACCATCTGACTTATTGGAATTCTTTTGTGGCTGCAGTCTTCAATCCATAATATTAAAAGACATTTCATATTATCCATTTCAGAACTACAGTTTTTAACAATCACTTTTTGACATATAAGAAGTTGTAGCCATTCCATATCTTTTTATTTTATCTTGCGCATGTGCCGATGCTGCGTACATTGTCTTGTCAAGTGCTATTTTAGCATACCATGCACCATCTTCATGTTTTATAATTTCCAGTTTTTCATCTGTTAACCATTTGACGTGAGGGTTCATCAGGAGATAGTGGAATAAGAAATACACATTGGATGTCTTGGAGGGGTATAATTAAGAGTCTTGCAGGGTAGCCCAGGCCTGCCTGTCGAGTCTGCTATGCCTAACGGTAAACTGAGAAGGAGGCCTCTGGCTGGTGGCTCATATGTGAGGGACTCGTGATGTCATGGCTTGAAGGGAGCCAATCTATAAAGTAGCTGGGATTATCTAAGTATACTACACACATACACAGTACCACTACTGACACACTTGACATTTACTACAACACTCAGCATCATTGCATTTCCTCTTTCCACTTGTATCTGCATATAAAAGGGGTACGAGTACTATATATAATAAAAAACAGTGTATATGTATGTACTGAATAAGACTACACAACTTCACTGCAGGGAGTCTGGAGCAATATTGATGTTTGCATCATGCTTGTCAAAAATATACATAGCAGTAGCTAAATAAAATTTATATTATTAAATTTATAAACCATATTATATCAAAACCCATACTGTTCAAACCATACTATGCAAGGTATTGCTGTACATACTCCACTGTATAAATATTTCAAAGCAAACAGTAATAATGAAAAAAGGCAAATACGTAACAAGTTTCAAAGTTAAAAATTAAACATGTTACAAAAAATGTACCTGCCAACTTTTTACACAAAATCCTATTGTATTCAGTATTATGGAAGGCTTACATATGCTTAAATATTTTTGCTTAAATCTTTCAACGTACCATATTCCACCGAGGTGGGGTGGCCCAAAAGGAAAAACGAAAGTTTCTCCTTTTAAATTTAATAATATATACAGGAGAAAGGGTTACTAGCCCCTTGCTCCCGGCATTTTAGTCGCCTCTTGCGACACGCATGGCTTACGGAGGAAGAATTCTGTTCCACTTCCCCATGAAGATAAGAGGAAATAAATAAGAACAAGAACTAGAAAGAAAATAGAAGAAAACCCAGAGGGGTATGTATATAGTGGACCCCCGGTTAATGATATTTTTTCACTCCAGAAGTATGTTCAGGTGCCAGTACTGACCGAATTTGTTCCCATAAGAAATATTGTGAAGTAGATTAGTCCATTTCAGACCCCCAAACATACACGTACAAACGCACTTACATAAATACACTTACATAATTGGTCACATTCGGAGGTAATCGTTATGCGGGGGTCCACTGTATACTGTATATGCTTGTACATGTATGTGTATTGTGACCTAAGTGTAAGTAGAAGTAGCAAGATGTACTTGAAATCTTGCATGTTTAAGAGAAAGAAAAAGGACACCAATCCTACCATCATGTAAAACAATTACAGGCTTTCGTTTTACACTCACTTGGCAGGACGGCAGTACCTCCCTGGGTGGTTGCTGTCTACCAACCTTCTACCTAGGTTTTGCTTAAATATCTTTGGTTAAATATATTTATTAAATGGATCAACAGTGGATACTAAAGCATTTTTTTTTTTATTAACACATCGGCCATTTCCCACCAAGGTAGGGTGGCCCAAAAAAGAAAAACTTTAATCATCTACTCCATAACTGTCTTTCCAGAGGTGCAGTTACACTACAGTTACAAATCTATATGTTTCACTGTAAACACTTGGTCTACACACCCCCTACCTTTCCTAAAGCCTCCTTGTTCATCTGCTACCCTACTCTCCATCTTACTCTTAATTCTTTCAATAATAACTACCATACACTTTACCAGTATACTCAACAGACTTATTCCTCTAAAATTTTTGCACTCTCTCATGTTCCCTTTGCCTTTATACAAAGGAATTATGCATCCTCATTGCCAATCCCTAGGTACCTTTACCCTCTTCCATACATTTATTAAATAAAAGCACCAACCACTCCAAAACTATATCCCTACCTGCTTTTAACTTTTCTATCTTTAACCCATCAATCCCAGCTGCTTTACCTCTTTTCTTTCTACTTACTGCCACACAAACTTTCCCCACACTCACAACTGACTCTTCCTCACTCCTACAAAATGTTATTCCTCCTTGCCCTATACATGAAATTACAGCTTCCCTATACCTCTAACTCTCCATTTAACAACTCTCCTCTCCTATTTTTAACTCTCAAATCCATTCATTCCCTAGGCTTCCTAAACTTGTTACTCTCACTCCAAAACTTTTTCTGGTTTTCAACAAAAATTTTTGATAACATCTTACCTACCCTCTCATTTTTTCCTCTTTTTACATTGCTTCACCACTCTCTTAACCTCTCTTTCTCTCAATATACTCCTCCCTACTTTGTAAAAACCTCTCATATGCTAACTTTTTCTCTCTTACTACTCTCTTTACATCATTATTCCACCAATCACTCTTCTTCTCTCCCATACCCACTTTCCTGTAACCACAAACATCTGCTGAACACACTAACACTACATTCTTAAACCTACCCCATACATCTTCAACACCACTTCCTATACTCTCACTAGCCCATCTATCCTTCAGTAGTTGTTTATATCTTACCCTAACTGCCTCCTCCTTTAGTTTATAAACCTTCACCTCTCTCCTATTTGTTGTTTCTATTTTCCTTATATCCCATCTACCTTTTACTTTCACTGTAGCTACATTTAAAAAGTGATCTGATATATGTGTAGTCCAACAAACTACTGTCAAACAACAGTTACCTGAACAAAATCAGCTGTCTTAAGCATACTGTGTATCCTCCATGAAAATACTGCCCCTCTTTGAACAGGACATTATCTTTCATATGTGCATGAACTAATTCCAATTCACTCTCAGCTGCATTAGTTATATTCTCAGATAGCACTAAGAACAGATTTGTTATTCAGCACAGCATGACAAAGTGATGATATCAGATGGCAGGAGTGTGTGGCATAAAGCAAGAGGAAGGCATAGTTGATGCAGACAGCACCATCAGTTTGGTTGATCAAGCCATCTACCAGAAGACCTGGTCTGGGTCCAGGAAACAGGACACTGACCCCTGAAATCATCTTAAATGATCTCCATAAGTAAGCAAGGAATTGCATACCATACTCAATCTCCACTAACTTTCTAAGGTAGACATTACGCATCAATATACTGATGCAATTTAACAAGTTGGAAAAGAACTAGATATTTAAAGGACAGTTTGCCAGACGAGTGATTGGGAATAACCGAATCATGCTAATCATGACAGAGTGCCAGAAAGAAACAGGTACAAAAGTAGAATGGAGCTTAGTATTCTTCATTACAATCTAGCTGAGAGTAGTGCAGTTCTTTTAAAACTCATTCACTGGTAGTGTAGCTACAACACCAGTCTGGGAAGCCTCACAAAGTCAACTCACGCAATTTCCAACTCACTGCTACTTACATTAGAAGCCATCAGAGAACTGGCTTTCCTATAGTGCAAAATCTGTCAGAAACACTGAAGGAGATGAAACATAATAGAAATCATTACCAGTCAAGTGTTCTGAAACTGCAGAATGTGTTGTAGTTGACTGGTCATCACTGATTGGCTCCAAGGCTCCAACCCCACCATCTTGGAAAGCTGTAAAAAAAAAAAAAAAAAAATAGTCTAGGAGTAATGGCAAAGTTGCCTATGCAACAATGTATTTTCAGATCAATATCTTAGTTCCCAAAACAGACTCCATCACTATCTTAGTTCCCAAAACAGACTCCAGCAGTAAATTTGGAAATACTTTGAAAAAATTGCTAAGGCCTGAAATTACAAAATTTGCAGGTTTCCACATAAATACCACTGACGAAGAAGAAAATTTTCATAGGATTATTAACCATGGATAACCCAAGAAAACTAAACAGAAGCAATGGCTGATTTTGACTGAGGTATATCTATGGTGCAGCCCATAACATACACCTGAATTGTACTCCTTGGAACTTAGACAAAAAAGGTACAGTACATCATAATTTACACCTGAAAAATCCTGGAGAGTCTGGTACCAAACCTGCACATTGAAATTCCCTGATACAAAAGCTGGCAACTTTTCAAACTAAAAAATACTTTCAACAAAAAGCATGGGAGTGATGAATATCACCATGAGCGGAAACTCAGTAAGAGTAGGGGAACCTAAACTTTTCAACATCCTCTCTTCCTAATTAGCTGGCTGTGGTGCATACACCGGACTGTGCATTGCTGGTACCAGTAACCTGGGTGGTCAGGCCAGCAACTGGAAGGCCTAGTCTAGAACTGGACTAAAGGGATGGTGAACCCAAAAATTCATTCCAGGCAAACTCTCAGGTGCTTATTTATTGCTTGGTGACCATGGGTAGCAAGTACAAAAAGACTTGCTGTGGCCTGGCTGGCAAAGCTCTTGCCTCACATGCTGAGGGTCCGGGTTCGATTTCTGGCAGAGTAGAAACATTTTGACATGTTTCCTTACACATGTTCTGTTCACCTAGCAAGTAAGTGCCTGGGTGTTAGTCAACTGGTGTGGGTTGCATCCTAGGGGACAAGGTTGAAGACCACAATGGAAATACGACAGACAGTCCCTCGATGACACACTGACTGACTTGGGTTATCCTGGGTGGCTAACCCTCCGAGAGGTTAAAAATCTGAACAAAATTTCATCTTATCTTAGGTCTTCCCCCACCAAGGAATCAAACCTAGGTAGGGCAAGAACAGATATCTATCTGACTCAATTCCATCTGGCATGTAAATAAAAGGGCACAACACCATGACTGGAACAATGCACAAATAACCCACACAGGAGAAAAAGCTTTTGAAGTTTCAGTCTGACTTGGACCATCAACTAGCCTTGCAGTGAGAGATTAGTTAAGGGTTCAAGTTGGACCGGAACATCGTCATATGTTTCTTTCTCCTCTGTGCGAGTTATGTGTGTGTCTGGTATGGCATTCAAATAAATCTGCAATGGTCTTAATACCAATCCTTGTGGTACACTTGTTAATCTTCTCCGTTCTGATGTCTCCTCCTGAACAATCACTCTCTGCTTCCTTTCCCTGACATACTCCTTGATCTAACAAAGCTCCCACTTCTGCTTGCCTGCCTGACCATGTACGTGCAAGTGTGCATGCATGTGAGAAGAGTCAGGTGGACTGACAAGAGATTTCCCACTAAGATTTAACAAAAAGGTCCAACCACTGGATCTGACAGAAGGAAAGGTCTGGAAATGATAAGGGCAGAGGAAGTGGATGGTGGACAAAAGAGGAAGAAGTCATCTGTATAGATAGGGAAAGAAGAGCAGTATGAAGAAACACAAAACTCTTAGGAGGAACACCATTCTAGTGTTGGACCTCAAGGTCTATATGGATTCATCCCTCTATCTGAAGGTGGGATAGGATAATGTGGCAACAAAGAAAAAAGACATCCAACAGGCAAAAGGAGGAGGACGCAGAACCAAATGACAATTTTTTTTATCTGTATACCCGTCATTTCTTCAGTGCTACCAGCAAACTGGGCAATGTTTGACCAATACGTCCCAGTGCCTACTCCCACACAAACTCCAGGTGGTAAGGTTTATATAGTCCATACACCATCTCAACCCTTCCAACAATAATGAATGAATGTGCAATAGTGAATGCAACACCAACCCATGTGGAGTGTGTGATAATGTAGCTATATAAAAGAAAACTATCTAGGAGCCTGAAACTGCATCAGTGAACATGAGTACACTCATCAAAGGATGACAAACAAGGCCTACACCATACATCATAACAACCACAACTATCTTAAGAACTTCCAAAACACCAGGCTTATCGAAAAATCAGACTTATGTCACAGACGACGATTAGAATTGGCTCTCAACACTTCTACAACATCATCGCTCAAAACACAGGCCATTATAAGATCTCGGAAATACTGCACTTGCTTCACATATCCTAAGCAAAATGAACATCACCTAACACCACTCTACAGCCCATGGAGCACCTTACCTAACCCAATATATATACATGTATATACATACATACAATTTCTAGTTTCTGTACAAGACTGATAATGCTCCTCAGGGGCAAAGAATCTCCTTAATTAATGTCCAAGTTAACATGTACATCTTTCTCACGTAGGATTTTATACTGAGAAATGTCAGAGAGTGACTGGGGCAATCAAGGATTAAAATCAAATTAGCACATTAACAGCAAATATTCCAATATAATACTCCCCAGCAAAGAGTAATGCAGATAGAAATTCCATCATAAGTATATAACCTATAACAAAAATACATCTCTGAACCAAAATAACTAAACACATACTGTGCCAGTAAAAGCCAGAATAAAAAGATAAGAACCGTAGCCAAAATAAGTCATTAAAATTCGCAGGCAACAAAATATATAATAGGGAAACTAATTTCAAATGTAAAATAACAGTTCTCTAGTTTTTTTGCAAACACAACTTGATAAATATGCAAAAACTCGTATAAATGTGTGATCAAGTTAGGCGGGGGCACTGACCCTGAAACCCTCTCCAGGTATAGGCACAGATACTCTGTAGGTGGATTTTAGAGGCCAATACTGGGTCTGATGTCAAAAAACGCAGCCTTTTGATGGATTTCAAAAAAGGATTTTACGTCATGCTCACGAGGAAGTGGTAAACCCACAAGGGTCATACAGCACATGGGGAACTGGATATAATCTGATTCATACAAGGTAAGCATAACTTAAAATACATCACCAGTCTGCTGGTGCAGGAAACTTCAATACATTAACACAGCACAAATGAAGAAACTTACTGAAGAATTTTGCACAAGTGTCAGAAAATATTTCAATACACAGAAATACAAATATGCGCTTTAATCCTCCCACACAGCCTTTGACGAATAGTATCACACATGCGCACACACACACAGAGGTGTGTTTGTGTACTAGGCGAGTACGCACGCACACACGCGCATGCATGCACACACACACACACACACACACACACACACACACACACACACACACACACACACACACACACTAACACACACTAACACACACACACACACAGGTGTGTTTGTGTACTAGGAGAGTACTAGGCGAGTACACACACGCACACAGGAGCTATGAATCAACCCCTGCAACCACAAATAGGCAAGTACACACAAACCATCAGAGGTGGGGCCAGGAGCTGTCAATCAGCCCCTGCAACTATAAATAGGTGAGAACACACACAAACACACACAGGCCAAGTGTCTATCAACAGGTGCCTTTGACAACTATATCGTACATAGTGTATTATTATTACAAACATAACAAAATGCTAAACCCACAAGGGTCATACAGCGCTGCGATAGTGTAAATTCCAAAATGCTCAGGAATGAAAGTGGCTTCTTTTGTGTGTAAATTACACACTGTATATAATGCAAAGAAATAAAGTCTAATTTTTAATTTTAATTTTTAATTAGGATAACTCAAGAAAGTCAAAGTGACTTATTTCCACAAAATAATGATGCCGTTCCGCAGGCCTGAGACGTCGCAGGTCAACACGACTCCTAGGCGTGATTTTTTAAATAATTACATTTACATTAAATACGATAGATACGTTACGATAGACACGAATAGATAGATATGAAGATACGATAGATGCACTTACATTAAATACGATAGATATTACATTACAATAGATATTTACGATAGATATACTTACATTACAATAGATATTTACATTAAATACGATAGATATACTTACATTACAATAGATATTTATATTAAATACGATAGATACACTTACATTACGATACATACGAATAGATAGATACAAATAGATACTATACATTAAATACAATAGATACTTACGATATAAATTACATTAAATACAATAGATATACTCACATTACGATAGATATTTACATTAATACGGTAGATATACTTTGGGTATAAAAAGACACGAATCTCAGTTACAATCTGACGATTAAAGAGTGAATTAAATACATTAACGAGTCAAAAAGACATCCCGTCCACACACCATCTCGACACTTACAAAAAAAAAAAAACTTAAATTACCATAGAAAATAATTATTTACTTATAGTGGTAACTTCCTTCACACAAACCTAGAAGACTCGTCTATCATCCCGTCACACACACACATTTAGCTATTTAATAATAGCTCTTGGCCGCCACACTAACCGTTAACTAGCGTCACGCTGCATAACACCATCAACATATTCCGGAGTTGTTCCATTCTGGATTCCTGACAGAAACTCCGGCTAAGTTTACTAACTACATTTCCTTCTCTTTCAGCGAATCTTGTACTTTGTTATTTGGTACTATAGATGCACTACTTGCGAGGAGCCAGCTTCTTCGAGCGCAATATCTTCAGAATCTAATTTTCTCTTGGGGTTATTTTAAAGGATTTAATAGGATATAAAAGTGTTGGATTCTCCTAGTGAGAGGATGTTCAGATGGTCTATAATAGAGACAGTCGAGGGCCGCGTAACACCCGACTAGACAGTACCCTTCCGCGTGCTGTCTTTAAAAACAGGCCTACCAACATTCTGTCTCGTGACATACAACCATTAACAGCAACACTCATGGTTTTCATTTATAGACAGAAATCAAAAATATCAACACTGTAGCTGCAGTGAGTGTCCCCTGCGGTCTCCTCACTGCCATTCTAAGCTCCTGGTGTTGAAGCAGTGTGTACCAAAATAAACCAAGTGTGTTATTATTATTTAAAACGGCAAATATTAGTATTCTGATTTTTTTTAAAATGTCCTCACATAATTTTGAGACAAATATTCCGCTAAAATACTGCACAGACTCAGCATATATTGCGTATTTGGTTGTGTTTAAGCGCGTAGTAATACCAATGCTCCGGGGCGGTCTGGGTTGAATGGCAACCTTGATCCAACATTCACAATCAACATTTTTTCAAGCAATTATGTTAATTATCTACTTAATGCTAAGAATAGACCAGCCTTGACACATGCCTAAAAATCCCTACATAATAAATATCCACCATATATTACATATAAGTTCCCCTGAGTCATAAAAAGTTTTAAATTACATATCAGGTTAATGTTAAACAGTGGAAGTTATTTATTAAACCTTCTCATAACATTACGGCCCTTCACGAGGGTGTCTTGATGCCGGTGAAGGGCTCTTGATCCAGGGAATTAGAGGTGATCTTTCCTTCCCAGGATCAAACTTGTCTGTCTTCCGTTTCTGATGTTCTCACAATTTTTGATTCCACGCTCATTTATATTTCAGTCAGGTAAGTTATTAAGACTCAGATACAACAGTCGGTATATTTACTGAAGAGACGTTTCGCCTACACGGCAGGCTTCTTCAGTTAAATACAGAGATGGGTAAATACGATGTTAGGTTAGTCCCTCAGTCTGGTAGTATTGTGGTGGTCAGTCCCTCAGTCTGGTGGTAGTCAGTCCCTCAGTCTGGTAGTATTGTGGTGGTAAGTCCCTCAGTCTGGTGGTAGTCAGTCCCTCAGTCTGGTAGTATTGTGGTGGTAAGTCCCTCAGTCTGGTGGTAGTCAGTCCCTCAGTCTGGTAGTATTGTGGTGGTAAGTCCCTCAGTCTGGTGGTAGTCAGTCCCTCAGTCTGGTAGTATTGTGGTGGTTAGTCCCTCAGTCTGGTAGTATTGTGGTGGTCAGTCCCTCAGTCTGGTAGTATTGTGGTGGTCAGTCCCTCAGTCTGGTAGTATTGTGGTGGTAAGTCCCTCAGTCTGGTAGTATTGTGGTGGTCAGTCCCTCAGTCTGGTAGTATTGTGGTGGTCAGTCCCTCAGTCTGGTAGTATTGTGGTGGTCAGTCCCTCAGTCTGGTAGTATTGTGGTGGTCAGTCCCTCAGTCTTATAGTATTGTGGTGGTCAGTCCCTCAGTCTGGTAGTATTGTGGTGGTCAGTCCCTCAGTCTGGTAGTATTGTGGTGGTCAGTCCCTCAGTCTTGTAGTATTGTGGTGGTCAGTCCCTCAGTCTGGTAGTATTGTGGTGGTCAGTCCCTCAGTCTGGTAGTATTGTGGTGGTCAGTCCCTCAGTCTGGTGGTATTGTGGTGGTCAGTCCCTCAGTCTGGTAGTATTGTGGTGGTCAGCCCCTCAGTCTGGTAGTATTGTGGTGGTCAGTCCCTCAGTCTGGTAGCAGTAGGTGTTAAGCCTGGAGCTGAACTCTTCTCCAGGCTGAAGGACTGACCACCTCAATACCTCTCCACTAATTCAGCTGTATCACATTTGTATTGGACTGAAGAAGCCTACCGAGTAGGCGAAACGTTGCAGCAATAGGTATCCACCTGTCACACCTACGTCTTATTCACCTACTTACAAACATAGTAAGCCACTTCCATAATTATGCTACTAAGCTTAATTAGGAACAATTCACACAATTTGAGAGCTGGACCGATACCTTAAAGTCAGTACCTGACCAGCCGGGTTGTAGTTCCTACGTTGGTTTGCGTGTGGCTAACAATAACAGCCTGGTTGTTCAGGTCCTAATCCACCGGGAGGCCTGGTCATGGACAGGACCACGGGTTCGTTGACCCCCGAGCACCCTCCAGGTATACCCCAGGCTATATAAACAATGAACGGTATATATACTGCGACAGTAATAAATTTTAGGTATTAAAGTGAACAGGTGACATGCAGTAAGATAAGATTTCGTTCGGATTTTTAACCCCGGAGGGTTAGCTACCCAGGATAACCCAAGAAAGTCAGTGCGTCATCGAGGACTGTCTAACTTATTTCCATTGGGGTCCTTAATCTTGTCCCCCAGGATGCGACCCACACCAGTCGACTAACACCCAGGTACCTATTTGCTGCTAGGTGAACAGGACAACAGGTGTAAGGAAACGTGTCGAAATGTTTCCACCCGCCGGGAATCGAACCCGGGCCCTCCGTGTGTGAAGCGGGAGCTTTAGCCACCAGGCCACCGGGCCATGTCACCGCATGTCACCTTTAAGCCAACAAAGAATACTTTAAATTCCTATAACAGGGACTAAAGTAAGCTTTCAGTGTATATATATATATATATACATAAAGTAATACACCTCTCGGTGTATACATTCTTTTCTTCAGGTGTTAGGTTAGGTTAAGTGTGTCAGGAAACCGGACATGTATTTCCTGACGTGGATCTGAGTCAGAGGACGACCCACAGCTGGAGTTTTTGGTCATTTGACCGAGGCCTTCCGCTGGCTGACACCTCCACCCCTTCAAAAAAATTATGGTTTTTATAACCATCAGACTGATACTACTTTTTCAGGTGTTGGTTAAAGATTAATGTTTTTTTTTTTTTTTAAATGTTGGAGTTTTGAAGACTACGAGGGAGAGCAGGAGTCAGCATCCCTGTGAAGATTGTGAGGGAGAGCAATAGCCAGCATCCCTGTGAAGATTGTGAGGGAGAGCAATAACCAGCATCCCTGTGAAGATTGTGAGGGAGAGCAATAACCAGCATCCCTGTGAAAATTGTGAGGGAGAGCAATAACCAGCATCCCTGTGAAGATTGTGAGGGAGAGCAATAGCCAGCATCCCTGTGAAGATTGTGAGGAAGAGCAATAGCCAGCATCCCTGTGAAGATTGTGAGGGAGAGCAATAGCCAGCATCCCTGTGAAGATTGTGAGGGAGAGCAATAACCAGCATCCCTGTGAAGATTGTGAGGGAGAGCAATAACCAGCATCCCTGTGAAGATTGTGAGGGAGAGCAATAACCAGCATCCCTGTGAAGATTGTGAGGGAGAGCAATAACCAGCATCCCTGTGAAGATTGTGAGGGAGAGCAATAACCAGCATCCCTGTGAAAATTGCAATAGTCAGCATCCCTGGGTGACAAATAGTATCTAATCTTTAAGAACCAGACACGACGCTGACATATCCAGTATTTCAAGGAAGGTTAGCTAGGTTTGAAATCTGTCTACCGGAGAGGCGTCATTAAGAGTGGTGATTCATCTTTACGCTGTTACAGAATAACAACCACCATTAAACCTCTAGGGGTTCAAACCGTATACAAATTCATAAACAAACCAATATAAACATCATTACTTCCAAGTATTAACCTATGCCTAAGATATATGATGTTGGTATATACACAAGTGTGTATATACCAGTATATCTGTTCCCAACTCCAGCCTTGGCACATGGCTCGACTCCCACACCATCCGCATTGGTGTTGCCCTTCGACTTGCCGCCCCTATTCTCGCCGAACACAGGTATATCTGTGGCAGTGAAGCAGCAGACCGATTCGGGTACCATGGTCTTGTGTGCCGTAAATCCGAGGGAAAGATTGCAAGACATGAGGAGGTTAATAACATTATCAAGAGGAGCCTCACAACAGCCGGATGCCCAGCAGTAAGGGAGCCACCCCAACTATGCAGATCTGATGGCAGCCAGAAGCGTCTAGATGGTATCACACTTCAAGCTTGGACAGACGGTAAGCAGGTGGTGTGGGACTACACATATGCATGTACCTTGGCTGATACCTATCTCCAATACACCAGGGAGGAAGGAGAGGCAGCCGCCAGCTTCAGGGAGTCCCAAAAGTCTAGAAAATATGGAGAACTTGCCCATCATTATGTTTGTCCCCATGGGCTCAGAGACCCTTGGCTCATGGGGAAAGAGTGCATCTAAGTTCCTTAAGGAGCTAGGCAAAAGACTCATCAGGGTAACTAGGGATCCAGGGGCAGCTAGTTTTCTGTTCCAGCGACTCAATGCTGCTGTTCAGAGGGGTAATGCCTGCTGTATTTTGGACACGTACCCCAGTTCTGAAGAGCTGGATGAAATTTTCGCATTATAATCAGTGACAAACACGTAACAGTATGCACTAGACATGTATCTCTCACATCTCGTGTAGTGTAAATGCCATCTTTATATGAATGTATCTCTTAAACCTTTTGTACCATATTATGTAATAAAATATACCTATTGGTAAAAAAGAAAAGATGGGGTGGTAGGGGAAGTGGAATATTCAAACGGCTTCAGGAAGAAATCCAAATATTCTTCCTTGAAGCCTTTTTATCCACTTCTCCGAGGCTGTGGGCCTCCAGAAGTAGTTTATATAACAATGAAACCACGAAATAAGTGGTTCTGAATCATTTACTAAACTGCGGCAGGCCAGGGTTCGAATACACGACACATTGTCCTGCACCCATTTCTGCTGGGTTCGTGATCATTGTAGGATCGATGGCTGAGTGGATAAGGTGACACGTACGTTGTGTTGTCCCTTGAGGCGGGAGAATGTGTCGTGGGATCGAACCCTGGCCTGCCGCAGTTTGGTAGAATATAGAATATAAAATATATATATATATATATATATATATATATATATATATATATATATATATATATATATATATATATATGTCGTGCCGAATATGTAAAACTTAAAACTTGCGATCTTGGCTTAAATAGCAACGATTTTCTTGCCGAATAAGGCAAGCGAA